GAATTATTCGTCTTTTTCTTGACTTTGGTATGGACCCAAATCTTTATGAAGGATAGAGAAATCTAGGAAATTAGTTCTTTGTACAAAGTCTCAAACTTTCAAAATCTTGGGTACATTGTGATTAGTTGAGACCTATAATTTGGATATCTTTTACCTTACTGCAAAGCTTTTATTGCTGTCTATTGGACGTATTTTATGCAAGGAAAATTGTCATTAAATATGGTGTTTTGAATATGAGTGGCCTCCACAGACTCATATGTTTGAATGCTTAGTCACCCGAAGTGGAACTATTTTAAAAGATAAGCATCAGGAGGAGTGCCTCATTGTAGACAATAATGGATTAAACCTCAAAACTGTAAGCCAGTCACAAATTAAATGTTTTCTTTTCTATAAGAGTTGCCTTGGTTATGGTGTCTCTTCACAGCCATATATAAAGTAAGATGTGTGCATTTCACGTAGACTTACAGGAGCAAAGGGACAGTTGTGGCCACTACCTGCAGGATTGATGCAAGGACTTAATAAATTCACACCCAAGATTAACTTTTTTCTTACCACTCTGGGCTTCAAGCCCTATCAAATTTATTCATGTATGTGATCCTTTTCCTGTGGCACAATTTAATGCCAAGAATTCTAGGGAATTCAACCCCAAAACACACAAGTACCAAAGCTAACCTCCCTCTCAGTGTTGCCAGATTAGGCCTAGGGCACAGAATAAAAGTTCATTTTGGAGACACCAATGTCTTGCCTCTCTACAACTTGGGTCGTACCCACCTCATAGCTACCTCCAAAACTACAGCCATGTTTGTTTGATAGTGGTGACCCTGTCATCCTACACAGTCCAGTCACACCATGGTCCCTCATGAACATGTGAGTCCTTACCTTCCCTCCAGGTTTGGTATGGGACATCTATCTTAGAAACACATCTGCTCTCTCCTTGATCTGATTAATTTATCTTTATCCTGAAGCTCAGGATAACTTCCTTCCTAGGACTTAGAAAACATCTGTATTTTCAAATTATTTCTATTATTTTTGAGATTATGATATAATTCCATCATTTTTACCTTACCACTCCTCCCATAAACATACTCTTTCTTTTTTTCAAATTCATGGCCTTTTTTTCATTGTTGTTAAACACATATGAGTGTACTGTGTGTGTGTGTGTGTGTGTGTGTGTGTGTGTGTGTTTGATATGAGTGTGCTGTGTGTGTGTGTGTGTGTGTGTGTGTGTGTGTGTGTGTGTGTGTGTGTGTTCCTAAATACATACACATAACCTGCTCAGTCTGTATAATGGTACTTATATGTATGTATTTAGCACTGACAATTTGTTATCTGGTAACCAATTAGTGTTCTCTTCCATAGACAACACTATTTTTCCCTACTCTTAGCATCCCTTAGTTGCCCGTAGGTCTTTGTGTAGGGCTGAGACTTTGTGGGCTTTCCTCTGTCGTCAGCATTAGAATGTCAATTGTTTAGCTCATATTTAGGAATTCATGTAGCTAAGACTTTGTTACAATTTCACCCCTACATACTGCTATGTTATTGGTTATATGATTGGTACTCCATAAATAATATTTAAAAAATTAATATTCTGCAAGGGTGATGGCAATACACTTCTATGACTATTATTCCTTTATGATGTGACATATGAACCAGTATAGTCATTTCTTAAATGGTCATGAATATTTCAGATGCTACAATATTCCAAAAGACTTTGAAGAATTACTGCTGGATCTATTTTACTAAAATACCATTCTCATTATGCCACCACCTTTACTAAATCAGACACAAATATCACCTTCTTTGGGAATGCCATGAGGGTACGCATGCTAATCTAAAACTACTTTCCATTTATACCCCAATCTAGAGGTAGCCTTCTAAAGCTATTCCACACCTGCTCTTCTTTATGCCTGAGAAAATTTTAGACAATTCCAGGTACACAAGAGTATAAAGCAGATATACAAGTCAAGCATTCCCTGATTACTAATCATTAAAATGTGTTTTAAAAGAATTACCTGATATACATATACTTTAACCACTTATAAGATGGAAGCAAAGGTGGTTTTTGTTCAATCCTGAGAATCTCTAAGGTGGAAAGAGAGAACTAACTCCCGCATGTTGTTCTCTGACCCCCACATGTGCACAATGGCACACAGGCTCCCTCTCTGCACCCCCACACACAAATCAATAAATTTAAAAATATATTTAAAGATGAAAGCAAATGTGGATATTAGTAAGTTGGATATGATTTTTATGTAAAAATCAATTTTGGCTGAATATTTAATATTGTAGAATATGGAGAATTTTCAAGATTTTTTACAAGTTGTTCATTATTTTTATTTTATTTTATTTAGCTGAGAATGATGCTTCATATAAACACACAGAGCAAAATAGCAAAAGTATATTTATGGCCACTTCAGAAATTGTAGGAATTCTGTCCATGTCTCAAGCCAAACTTTACTAAGATTTTTAAATAAATGAAGAGTTTGTTTTTGTTTAGTTGTTTTGCAGTTTCATGTTAAGGTAAGCATCTGGAGGTCAAAGGACAATTCGCAGAAGTCAGTTCTCTCCTTCCACTATGCAGATTGGGGAAACAAATTCAGATCATCAGGAATGCCATTTAGCACCTTTGCTTGCTGAATCAGTTTTATGAAACTCAAGCCAGCAACCCAAACAATATCTTAACAGTAAAACATTCTAATAAAATACAGTCAAAAGATATGCCCATTTATATTTACATACTGACGAATGACAATAAGAAATATTAAAAGTTTTTGCTGTCTATGATTAAACTACTGTGCTTCATTTTTAAAAACTATGATTGGGCAAGTCTGCATCTTCACACCTTCTTTTTAATCCACCAAGTCACTAGAATAATTTTTCAGAAAATAGATGGTCCATAAATTCTTGGAGAAGGACCATATTCATTTATTAACTGACTTTGAAATATCTTTTTAAAATTATTTTATATGTATTTATAAATATATAAAATATATTTTTGCTTACACGTATGTCTGTGCACCATGTGAATGTCTGGTGCCCAGAAAAGCCATGAGAGTATCTCATACCCTGGAACTGGAGTTACAGATGGCTGTGGCATAGATGCTGGGACGAGATCCTGGGTCTTCTGGAAGAGCATCTAGTGTTATTAGCCACAGAGCCATATTTGCAACCCTGCTCAATATCTTCTTACTAAGTAACCACTACATACCAAGAACCAAAAATACCGCAGAACAAAACAAACAGAGCTGTATTTTAATTGTGAGCATGGACAGCACAAAAAGCACCACATACTATGCACATTAACATTTGCATTAGGCTACACTCTGTGCAGCAGGAGATCCTTAGATTCAAGTGTTTCACATGAAAGCTTTTATATACTAATGTCTATCCCCAAATCAGCTTTGACTTTGACTGCATTTTAGGCACAGGCCAGCCACTCACTGGTACAAATAACTGTTGGTGGAACTTCATTTCTTCAAACCAGAATGGAAGTAAAATATTATTTTAAGAATTAATTATAATTGAACATATGCCAAAAGTACATAAAGAAAAGAAAAGCTTCGGCATGCTACCCTGCCAGAATAGAAATAGATTTTGGACTCAGTTCAGTTTCTAGTAAATTAATGTCCAAAGCACACAAGAGCAAGTGTGCACACTTTTGTCATCTCAGCAAAGAGGCCAGGGTACATATGAACCTAGAATTTCATCTTTGCCTTCCCCACAGACGGTAATCTCACCCACAGTCTGTCTATGGTCCCTAATAGAGTGTGCATGCTGCTTCCTGGAGCAAATGCATAAATTGGGAGTAGAGTTTTATTATTCCCCCCCTGAGAGATATACACATTCTTCTGGATGGTGAAAGGGAAGCATCAGGTGCCCACCTGACTCGTCTCCAGATGGATCTGTCAAGTGACACTCACTGCACTGTTGCCACATATCGGAAGCACCGTAGCTGTGTGTCTGCTCATTGCTTCTTACCAAGTTATGACTAGGTGCCATTCATTGTGCTGGTCTGTAAGAGTGTGAACAGAAATGGTGATGTCTGCCAGAGAAGAGTTCATAGTCTGGTACACATGACAAAACCCACAAGTGACTTCAGTGTGTTGGATTTTGATCCAAGTGAAAGAGAGTAGATCGGGTGTTTATTCCTCAAGGTCAAGGTGAGCCACGTCTCTTAATAGGAAGCCGAATCTCACACTGCAGCTCTTTGTAATGCAGCAGTTTGCTGAAAGCTTGGTTTTCTTCTCGACTATGTAGTTTATATAATCAACAAATTAGTTTAGCTATGTAAAACAAGCTTTCAAACACACCCAAATACTCCTGCAAATTATTGTTAGATATTATCTCACAGGACATCAATGATAAATAGTATCAGTCACATTCATCACACTATTTACTGTCCGTCTGTAACTTCCTGGTTTCTTCCATTTTTTTAGGTTATGCAATTTATTAAATTAATTTCAGGGCTTAGTTCATTCTGAACCTTTATAAATTCTTTGAAAGAAAGAAAGACAAATATGATGCTATTGCATTCAACAAATCACTGTCCTTTGGTTTAACATTAACACAAGGCACAGCCTATGGCGTGTGTTTACACCCAAATATGAAAGATGCTGATAGTAGAGAGTGATGTTCTCAGTCTATCTCTGCATGTAGAAGACTCTCCTTCTTATAATTAAGTGGCTTATTATTCTTATAATTACCGAAGTTATCAAAAACCCCACATGCATATAAGTCATTTGAATTTTCAAAACAGTCTGTGTTCATTATATGAGTCTTCAGGACACAGCTTGGCAAACTTAATAGGTTCTTGTGCCACATTTCATGAGAAAGCCAAGACTAAGTTGGGCCATTTGTTTATAACTATTATAAAATGCAATAAATGTATTGAAGTAATTTAGAAGAGGTAGGTGCCCTCTAATCTCTCTCTGCTGACCTTTTAGTCAAAGCTGTTTGAAGATGATTATCTTGAGTTTCAGTCACTTACATATTTTTAAGTGCGCACAGCAGTCCAAAAGAGCAACACAAAAATTGAATGTGGGTACTAGTTCCATATCAGAAAAAAATTAAAACAGCATTGTAAAACAAGGAAAATAAGTATGTATCTAACTCAATGATGGATTACTTTATTATTTGTGAAAATGCCATTTTAAAAACATTTCACCTAAAGAATGTTTTCTCAAAAACAAACTATGGAAATTGGTTTAATATCCTATTAATTTAAATCAAGCATCTTTTCCTTCTTGTGAAAAATACAGATAATTGGAGTAATTTCAGGGAAACTTTTTAATTACCTGGGCAATTGGCTCAGTCTTCCACCTCAATCTTCTATTTCACTTTGTGGATTAAATAGCTTTAAAAAACAAGACTAGTTCCTCCCTTTGGATCTTCGTTAGTTCCCTGTGGAGTCATAAGATTAAAGTGTCTAAGATGGGCAAGAGATCCAAACTTTTAAATAAATTTGATATCCAGATAATTCCATTTTAATCATGTAATTATACCAAAACTTTTTGAATTCTGTTTCCTCAAGCCATGGAAAAGTGGTGTCCAGCATAGCTTCCATGGTAACATCTACATGTCATCCTTACATTGTTTTTATAAACTAAAGTTTGCTTAAATACTTTCATCTGGAATATTGACAAGCCATACTTTGCCTCTTACCAACATGTCTTAAAGTAATTGCATTTCTGTAATCTGTAAGGCTCTTGCTGCCCACATTTCCTTTCTGCTTCTTGAGACGGTCTTTTTTTAAGTCACAGGCAGATCTCCAACTCTATTGGGCTTATTCACAAAGCAATATTTGAAGACTAACAAAAATCATAGTTTATCTGACCTGCATATAAAATCTTTCAAGTATACTACATTTATCATATTAAAAATGCATCATTAAAATTTAAAAGCAGGTGCAGTTGCTCAATAAGCTAATGCTATAGTCTGAAGACTCCACTCAAGATTGTATTGTTGAATTCCCAGTTGGATAAAGGAGAGAGAAAAGCAGAGGGAGGGCCTCCGAGTGACCTTGCTCCAAGGTGGTAGGGCACCCGGAGCTGCTGTCAGCTGTGGTTGAGCTCCACGCTGAGGCTCTTCATTGCACTGCATTCACACGACTGAGAATGAAAAGTGTCCTATCCAGAGCCGCTGGAAACTGCTGCACCCCAGTGCAGAATCCTTCCCGAGTCTCTACACCAGTGTTCCTGTGAACACGAATTTGTGTTTATGGGGTGAATTTGTGGCTCTGCCTGTGAGCGCAGATGACTCAATACTTGTCTAAAAGCATGTGGATGAAGTAGCATAAAGATATTGTATGTTTAAAAAAAAAA